GAGCCCAGCCTGTTCTACAGAGTGAGTTCCAGGACAGCCCAGGGCTACACAGAGAAACGCTGTCTCAAAAAAAAAAAAAAAAAAAAAAAAAAAAAAAAAAAAATTACAAAGACAAAGAAAAAAGGCAAAAAAAAAAAAAAAAAAAGGAAAGAAACTGTGTGACTATCTCTAGCCATCAGGAAAATGTAAATTGAAACTACCTCAGTCAAAATGGCTATCAGGAAATCTGACAAATGCTGGACAGGGTGTGAGGAAAGAGAAATCCTATTCACTGCTGATGAGAGTGCAAATGAGTTTAGCCGTTATGGAAATCATGGAGAGGTTTCAAAAAATTAAAACTAGATCTACCACATGACCCAGCTACACCATTCCTGTACCCAAAGGGCTCCATTTACTAGCAGAAAGACAAGTGCACATCCATGTTTCCTGCTGCTATATTCATAGGATCAAAGACATGCAGCCAGTCTAGATCTAACAAGAAACAAAACAAAAATGTGATACACACACACACACCAGAGTATCATTTAGTTGTGAAGAAAAATGAAATTTGCAAGAAAAATGAGTCTATCTAAAAAGTATATTAAGTGACTCAAAATTAGACAAAAACTCCTATGTTTCCTCATATAGAGATCCCAGCCTATAATGTGTAACAAAAGCAAACAGGTATCAAGTCTTAAAATCTAGGAAGGAAATCAAGAGAGTAGTAACTTGATAAGGACAGACAGATGGGACAAAAGGATAAACAGGACACAGAAAAGGAAAGGAGTCTGAGCGGTAGGCCACATGAGGAGATGGGGGACCAAGGGTGGGGAAGATGGAGGGCATATTTATTCAAATATGTCGATAATGGCGTTCACTTTTTAAAAAGCTGAACGGAGCAGCCTTGTGGTTTTATAGACAGACACAGAAACTAGTAACTGACATGGTACGGTCACTGAGAAAATCCTGCAGCAGCCTGTGGCAATGGATAGATTCTGGGGTACTGGTGTACCTTCACACCTCACCCTTTCAGTTGCTCAGCCCTGCATAACTTGACGGGGAAGCATGAAATCAGAACACAAGGGAGCTTGAGGTTTTAGATAGGGTCTTAATGTGCAACCCAGGCCAAGGCCAGCCTTAAATTCTCAATTCTCCTGCCTCAGCCTGAGTGCTAGGACTATAAGAATGTGCCACCAAATGCTTTAAATAGTTTTGTAAAATACCGAGTTTATTCATTTTTTGACCATTTCATACATGTAAACAATCCATCTTGATCATCTGTACTCCAACACCCCTTCCATCTCCCCCAACATGACCCTCTTCCCTCAGAAGTTTTGAGTAAACTAAGATTCTTGTGGGACAGCTTAAGCAACTGTGTGTCTACTGTCCTGAGGCCTACCCCACCTGAAGAGACAGTTTCAATGGGTTTCATATCCCTGTCATAGAGAGGAGTATAAGCTAATATCCACAACACTGGAGCAACTACTTGACAAAGAGGGAAACCCTGGAGCAGATGGAATACAGCAGAGTCTGTCCGCTTCACTGCCGGTAAAACCAGCTATCTGAAAAAGATTGTTGGAAAGCTTTGTTCCAAGTCTCTAATAAGGTGCCACAAAATCACACCACAGAAATGGCACAAATACTTAAATGGCAGTTGATGTTTCAATAAACGCACATGTGCATAAATGGTGCTTCCAGCTACCATAAAGTTGTTAAATAAAAACACCAATGTGAGGGTGGTCTACCTTCCCAGGAGTTGTTAGCCAGAAAGACAGACCCCAGAGGTCCCCACACTATACTGACTATTGTCACTATCCCCCACTGAAGACGCCACATGCTCAGACTTCAGGAGACTAGAACACCAACCTGGGCTTAAACCAGGATACACTACCCCATCCTCTGTCGTTAGCCGCCAGTGTCAGGGGCACTATTCAGGCCACAAGGGGGAGCCTATTCCTACAGCCTGGCTTTGCTAGGGATCCCAAGTGCTCCATTATCTGCTTGTTACACAGGTAACAGCAAATTCAGTGTTGGTGCAATCAGCACAGGTAGAGTCAACATTCTCCCAGCTGTCTGTCCAGCCCACTCCATGTTAGAACTCTCCATCAGGTCAGAAACCCCGGGGATCAAATAAATCACACATTCAAACAATGGCAAGACTATCACCACTGCTTTGCTAAACACAGATGTACCCCATCAACTACTGTGGTGGTTTAAACGAGAATAGTCCTTACACATTTGAATGTTAGGTCCTAGTTGGTGGAACTGTTTAGGAAGGATTGGGAGGTGTGGTCTTGTTGGGAAAAGGGGTGTCACTAGGGGTGGGCTTTGAGGTTTCAAAAGCCCATCCAGGCCCAGTCTCACTCTCTGCCTCCTGTTTGTAGAGCAGATGTAAGCTGCTGCTACAGAGCTCTGCCTGCTTACCTGTATGCCTGCCCAGAGGCCTGCCCACACTCCCCGCCATGATGATCAGACTCACCCTCTGACACTATAAGGAAGCACGCAACTAAATTCTCTATTTTACAAGTTGTTGTGGTCATGGTGTCTCTTCACAAAAATAGGAAAGTAAACTAAGACAATTATCCTCTGAACTATTTATGTGTATTGGAGTCATACTGCAGCTGCCTCTTCTTGCACTGGGCGGCAACCACTGTAGCCCATGATGATGATACTCTGACTACTGTACTCATGGTGAACTCTCTCTCTAGTCAGGTAGGTATGCCATGAAACATTTTGCTCCCTCCATCAGTCGAAGTGAAGAAATTTCACAGATCTCCCCACTATCAACAGAGCCCCTCCCATATGAATAAAAGCCCAATATGACAATCCTGTTCTAAACGTGAGCTTCTGGTAGAATGGGAACCCATAACCTGGCCTAACGTGCTACCTTCTGGGCATCATGAAATTGGACCTAATCCCGACATGGGCATTTATGATTATGACCCATTGTGCCTAGAAAGACAGAATGAGAGACACACTACTATTAGTAGGTACATGGATAGAGCTGTGCAAGGGTATTACAGGTAAAGCAAACCACATTTACAGGGCTTTCTACTCCTGTACGAGGGGATACATCTAGAGCCACTCCTCCAAGTCCCTCTCTGAGCTGTCAGCCAACTCCTATCTATAACCTAGCTGTTATCCCAAAGCAGCCACTAACCACCCATCGAGTGTTCGTTATGCAAACCTAAGAACACCCGAGAACCTTCCCCGACCATCTCACCTTCATTCACGATGTAGGCTGTCCCTCAGGATGTTCCCATTTGCCACCTTTCCTCTTTGAGCTATGACCTAACTGAGTATGCTCAGGAGGGAATTCATCAGTCTCCAACATGCCTTCCCTTTATGATTACATATAGGCTTCCCAAATAAAGTGCCCACTGTTTCTTTGTTGGGGAGCATGTCCAGTGTGAGAACAATATATAACCTTTGTTCTCCTGTACATGGTAATAAAAATGCTTTACCCTTTTATGCCTCAGCTGTGGTCTTGCAGCTTGGCACTCACCAAGATGTGAAGTCACTGTCTTTGTCACAGGAATACCCACTTTCTGTATTTAGTCATTAGGCAGGAGCCCTAGTATCAGCCATCTAAGCAAAGCCCTGGCTAAGTTTATTTTCAAGTTCCAAACCACACCTACACAGATGCTTCTTAAACCAAGAAACCTGGATATTGGAAAAACAGGCTACAGACTGGCTCTGGGTGTATGCACAGCTGTGCTAGGGATCTGTGTGTGGACACTGAATACCAGAAAACCCAGTTAAGATGGGACACTTGCACAGATGTGCAAGATGTTTTTGACCACTGGCTTAGGTCACTACCATGGGGGTATGTGCCCTTCCGACTGCCTGTATCACTTAAGGAGTATGCATCCATGGCTGTAGTCTTTCCTCGTTTTGGCACAGCAGCCCAATGGCTCAGTTCTCAGGGGGGAAGATGAGCATAATACCTCTTTCTAAGGCTCAGGACTATGGAAGAAGGTGCAGACAGAGCTGGAAGGTGGGAAACTGGGTCCAGGCCTCATAACCTGTCTTTAGAGACCCTGGCTCAGAGGAGGCAAGGATGTAAGCATCAACCCATGGAATGTCAAACCACCAGGAAGTGAGAGAGCTGTTACCATGTCCTCCAGGTAATGGGCACGCTCCTATGCTCAAGTAGCCTCCTGGAGGGATGGTTCATTCTCCCACCTCTGGCATTTGCTAGCTCTGACAAAACACAATCAAGACTGGTGAGTCAGAACAGCTGCCCACGTCACCCACCACTCTGTAAGCTAACTAACTGGAGAACTGGAGTCATTCTTTCGGCTGTCGGTACCATCACAATTTGAAGACAATGTTTACATGAATTCATATACATATAGCAGCACACAGTGATACAGCACACAGAGATTTGTAAACACTAAACCTCTTTACAGCAAGAGCTCAGTATGCCTTTACAGGATCTGAATGCTGTCCATTTACAAATCTTTAAAAGGCAATTTTGGTTTCCTTTAATAAAATCTAGCCACCATCACACCTTAAATGGCAGGGGCCATTATCCTGGGCTGGTCTCTAATACCCAGTTCCTATATAACAAACTGCAACCTGCTTTGGTAAAGAAACAAACCAAAACCAAAACCTTCAATTTGGAAGCGGGAATGTTCTAACTAGTAGCCGGATTTTAGTGTAGATGGGCTTCACTGAGTCACAGGCCACACTGTTCAGACCATGTCAACTTAGGCAAATGCCTCATGTAACCAACCAATCAAAAGTTATTTCTTCCCTATTTCCCTTCTCAGTACCCAAGGGCACTGCCCCTCTGTAGTCAAGATCGAAACACTTCCTATTTAGAACACACCTGGACTTGCAAATTTTTCTTTGTTGACACTGAAAGAGCATCACAGGGACTCTGGACCCATCACCCCAGAAACCACCTTCCCCCAGTCGCAGGTAGGTGAGGAACCTGCCTCTTTTCACTGGCCTATCTCACTGCTTCTTTTTTTTACTTGCCGGACTGTCTAAAACTTCAATCTTGCCTCTGCTACCTTCTGCATTCAGAAGCTTTATGGTGTCTATGGTGACTTCGGAGGGGACGCAGTCTTCATCTGCGGACTCTGAGCTGTCCTCAGGGCCGTCCTGTGAGCTCTCTTCTGAGCTGTCCTCTTCTTTTGAATCTGACCGGTTCATCTCAAGTAAGGCCACATCCTGTAAGAAGTGTCAGGTTGAGAAATCTACTTCAGAGCAGTTCTGTAACATATTCTAGTGAAGCAACAGCTAGTGCCAGGCGGTGGGTGGCGCACACCTTAATCCCAGCACTCGGGAGGCAGAGGCAGGTGGATCTCTGTGAGTTCGAGGGCCAGCCTGGTCTACAGAGCGAGATCCAGGCCAGGCACCAAAACTGCACGGAGAAACCCTGTCTCAAGAAACCAAAAAAGATAAAGCAGTACAGCTGGCTCCAGGGGAGGGCTCGGCGGGTCGAGGTGCTTGTCCAGAGGACCCCAGTTCAGTTCCCAGCACCCATGACCAACTCCAGCTTCAGGAAACCTAACGTTCTTCTGGTTCTGCTGGCCCCCATGGGCACCCACCTAGGTGCCAAACGCATTGATGTGCACACAAAAAATAGTAATTCTTAAATAAAAGCAGCAGAGGAAGCTATCAATATCCATTATAAATTCTGGAGCACAGATTGGGCTGTGTGCTTAATATAAATGGCACGTCCATGTTCTCAGGTGCCAGAATACATCGTAAGAGAAGTTTGAAAGATTGATTTTACTTATGTCTTTAAAAACGCTTTTCCTGCCGGGCGGTGGTGGCGCACGCCTTAATCCCAGCACTTGGGAGGCAGAGCCAGGTGGATCTTTGTGAGTTCGAGACCAGCCTGGTCTACAAATCGAGATCCAGGACAGGCACCAAAACACCAGAGAAACCCTGTCTCAAAAAAAAACAAAAAAAAAGGAAAAAAAAAAAAAAGATGTGAGTGCCACCATTTAAAAAAAAAAAAAAACGCTTTTCCTGGGCAGGAGAGATGACTCAGCAGTTAAGTTTACTGGCTGCTCTTTCAGAGGACCTGGGTTCAATTCCTAGCAACCACATAGTGGCTCACATACATGTAACTCCAGAGGATATGACACCCTCACACAGACATACATGCAGGTGAAACACCAATGCACATGGAATTAAAAAACAAAAGGGGGTTTCTCTTGCCTAGTACACAGCCAACAGCACTCTCTCAAAAATGGGACTACAGCAGTGGTTCCCAACCTTCCCAATGCTGTGACCCCTCTAACAGTTCTTCACGCTGTAGTGACCCCCAGCCAGGAAACTATTTTCACTGCTACTTCATAAATGTAATTTTGCTGTTACAATCATAATGTAATATCTGTGTTTTCCAATAGGCTGGTCGAGACCCACAGGTTGAGAACCACTGGCCTGGAATCAGGCACTACACTGGACACTTCAGACTTAAGTGACACATCTACAATCCCAACCTGTAACCCCAGCAGTGGGATAGGCAGGACTGACAATGAGGCCAACCTGGGCCACAGGTAAGGGCTGCCCCCCAACCCACTCCCTCAAAAACACTCCCACAACTCTTGCCTTAATGGATTTACATTTCTGAGCAAGGGCCAGCAAATTATACCCAGCAGGCTAAATCCTGCCTGCTACCTAATTGTGTTCATCTCTTCAACTAAGAACGGTTTCTATACTTTCAAAGTGACAAAAGAGGGGAAAAAAGTATTGAAAAATGAAATGAAAAATGAAATTGTAGCATGCCACAAGCTTCTGCCACCACAGGCTCCCTCAGGCACAAGTTCCCACCATGAAAAAAAAAATGGTCCCCTTGAACTCTAAGCCAAATATATAGCCCTTCCCTTAAAAAAGGGTTAGTGGCCGTCACTGTTACCAAGCCCTGCTTCTTTGTCAACGTCAACAGCTGTGCTCAGCACTGAACAGCACGTAAGACAGGGTAACGTGATTCCACCATCTTGCCCGTGTGAAGGTCTTCACAAACTTTAAAATAACATTTTATTTTAGAACAAAATTTCAAAGTATCACTCTTTCCCGTTTTGGTGACAAGCACACTAACTCCATCCCATGAAACAGAAATAGGGCACAGTTACCATCTGTATGATGTTTCCGGATGTCCATCAATATTCTCAATATTGAAGCCATCAGCTGGACCAGCCGCCATTTCCTCTCGTAGCTTTTCATTTGCCTGGGCCAACTGTGGGAGGAAGGCCTGAATCCTGGTCTAACACTGTGGAGAGCAAACACAGCATGCAGACGTGTTAGTAAATCCCAGACTCCACAACTCCTGGTCGAACACTTCAGAGCAGAGCAACAATAAATCCATCCACTCTTTTTTTAATAATTTATTTTTATTTTATTTGCACTGGTGTTTTGCCTCCAGATATGTCTATGTGAGGGTGTCAGATCTTGGGAGTTATAAACAGCTGTGAGCTGCCATGTGGGTGCTGGGAATTGAACCCAGGTCCTCTGGAAGAACAGTCAGTGCTCTTAACCACTGAGCCATCTCTCCAGCCCAATCCATCAACTCTTAACATCCGTTTGCTTCTCAGCTGCCTTGGGTCGGAGGGTGGGTGGGGGTAGGGGAGATCGCTGGGGATTGAACCAGGGCCTTACTTTTGCTAGGCCAAGGGCTCTGCCAATCAGTTATACTCTCAGTCTCTATTTGAAACTCCCAAAGCAACAAGATCACACAATTCAGCAATTATTACTCAAATGTTTTGTGTTTCTCTTCCATCCTGAAAAGTATAAAATTCTACAAGGCTGACATTCAACAAGGTGACTGGAAAAAAAAAAGCAGAATGACCTAATGGATCTTTACAGTAAGGGCTGTCGAGGTTAATTAAGAGGTCCCATTTCTACTTTTTACGATTTCAGTTACCTGGAAGGTGTGTCACCTGCCCAACGTCTACCCACCTTCACCTGCAAGTGTCAACACCAGCCATCTTCTTTTTGGAAACAGGCTTGCTATGTAGCCTAGGCTAATTCACAACTGGCTTCCAACTTCCCATCATCCTGCACAGACCGTGCCCTGCCCTTCCTTTTGAGCTTGGGTCATTACTGTCTTCTCTCATCCTGAACAAGCCTATGTATTCTGTAGTCTTGTCCACCAGAATCTGCCCTGTGGCATAAGCTAACAGGGTGTTCCAGCCAAGCCAGGAGAGTAGTCAACTTGGGAGCGAAAGAGAAAAAAAACCAAGTAAGTGATGAATGTGGGTCTGGAACTTCTCATAAAGCAGCCAACTCTCCACAGCTGTGGAATAGCCATCTTTAGATCAATCCAACACCAAGAAAGCAGAGCTGAGAGACAGGCCACAGGTGAGGACAGCAGGCATCTGGATCCAGATGAACTTGCAGTTTCTGACTGGGTTCTGTCATCCCAAAAATGAGCCAAGTTTTCCTGATTTATCTCTTTAGGCAATCTGAGCTTTCACACAATTTGCAATTCAGAATTCTATTTAATGCATCCAATTTCACCACCATCCTGGGTTAGTTTAGTCAACTCCACACCAGCTAGTCATCTGAGAGGAGGGACCCTCAACTGAGAAAACGCCTCTGCCAAGACCCGGCTGCAGGACATTTTCTCAGTGAGTGATCAGTGGGGGAGGGCCCAGCCTATTGTGGATGGTGCCATCCTGGGTTTCTATAAGAAAGCAGGATGAGCAAGCCATTAAACAACACCCCCTCCATTGGCCTCTGCATCAGCTCCCGCCTCCAGGTTCCTGCCCTGACTTCCTTCAGCAATGAACAGTAAGTGTAAGCCAAATAAACCTTTCCCTCCCCAAGTTGCTGTGGTCATGGTGGTGTTCTACCACAGCAACAGAAACCCTAACTAGGACAGAAACTGGTACCACAATAGTGGGGTATTGCTGTGACAAACCTGGACCATGCGTTTTTAGGATTGTGGAAAAACTTTGGAACTCTGGGCTGTTTTAAAACGATTAAGTATTCAAAGTTTGGTGACCTGTTTCTGTGGGAGTCTGGAAGATAAGAATGCTGAGAGAACAATGCAGATGATGGAGGACTGGCTTGAAAAGTTTCAGAGGTCAATTTAAAAGTCCTTTAATGACTCTGTCTCTGTCCCCCAACACCATAGGAGTTACAGGTTCATGTGGCCACACAGCATTGTAAGTGGGTTCTAAGGGTTTGAATTCCGTTCCCCGTGTTTTCTTAACAAGCACTCTTACCCTGAGCAGTCTCCTAGAGTAAATAACTGCCAGGTGTGGTGGCACACACCAGTGTAGGCAGAGACAGGAGTATCTGTGTGTTAGAGACTAGCATGATCTAACAGAATGTCCCGAGACCAGCCAGGGATAAACATGGGGAAGACTATCCAGGAGCAGAGAAAAAAGGAGTAACTAAAAGCTAGACGTGGCAGCAGTAACTGTAATCCTAGAATTGGGAGAGGTGGGAAAATCTGGAGTCAGGATCACTCCTGACTGAAGTTTGAGACCAACCTAGACTATGTGAGACCCTGCCTCTAAAACAAACAGATAAATACATAAATAGCTAGGCCTTTCAGTGAAAGCACATACATCACAGCTACTTGGTAGAAGGCAAGATCTCAACTTTATGGCCTGCCTGGGCTACAGAGGGAGTTTGGGGCCAGCCTAAGCAACTTAAGAGAGAGACCCTGTCTCAAAACAGAAAAATTCTCCTCCTGGACAGTGGCCAGCACACGCCTTTAATCCCAACACTTGGGGAGGCAGAGGCAGGGCAGATCTCTGTGAGTTTGAGACCAGCCTGGTCTACAGAAAGTTCCAGATCAGCCAAAGCTACACAGAGAAACTTAGTCCTGAAAAACAAAAGAAATACAGAAAGGGCTGAGAATACAGCTCAGCACGAGAGGTGCGTGCACAGCCTGCCGAAAGTTCTAAGTTCAAGTTGTAACACCACCACCAAAAACCAAGGCGGAGACAGAAAGATCTTAACTGACTTCTGAAAATAAAGGGGACGGGCCCATTTACACAGACACTGATGACTTTATGAAAGCTATTTCGACAGTCTCAATGAGGAGCACGTTTATCAGCGTGCAATTCAGCAATATTATCGTGTGATTAATGAAGGGGGGCTGGCTCTGTTAGTTTTGTATTAACAAGATTTACCATGTAAAGCTGTAGGGGTACAACTTGATGCTTGCAATCCCACAACTCAAGAGGCTGAGGCAGCAGGGGTTACAATGAGTTCAAGGCCAGCCTGAGCTACATAGGGAGTTCTAGTGAACTGAAGCCTTTAGAAGACATGAACTTAACGTGTGTTCACCCTAGACAGAGCTCTAACGACAGACTAAAGCAAAGACGCCCCCAAAGAGCAACATAGTGAGCCAGTGAGTTTATTGGGCTTACTCAGAGCAACAAGGAGTGACAACCTCATAAAAGCTGCCTCCCTGCAGCTCCCTGCAGGAGTCACAGGCAGCTAGGCTTCACTAACTATTACTGTGGATGTAATCCTTAGGGAAGGGGTCTTGGGATTCCTGCAAATTTAGTTCCAGAAGCTTGTTTACTGTCTATATCCTTTTTTTTTCTTTTGTTTTTTTCAAGACAGGGTTTCTTTGAGTAGCCCTGGTTGGCCTGGAACTCTATCTGTAGTCCAGGCTGCCCTCAAACTCAAGAGATCTGCCTGTCTCTACCTCCCAAGTGCTGAGGTTAAAAGGCGTGCACCACCACTGCCAGCTTCCTTTGTTATCTTAAAAGTCTCTTTACACTATTTAAGGAAATGTTTTAATTTAAGAGGGAATGCTTCAATTCTGAGGCCACTTCTATGCTATACAGACTGTCACAACAACAGTTAACCAATAGTGGTGTTCTCCATAACCATACTTAATATTCCAAAATGTGAACAATAAGTCCTTTTTTCAAACAAGTGAAGTCTTGATAACTGCCCAAGCTGATATCCAACATGTTGCAGTTCTCCTGCCTCAGCCTTCCAACTGCAGATGTGTGACATCTCACTAAGCCAGAAACATTTTCAGTTAAAAAAAAAAAAAAAAAAAAAAAAAAGTACTCTGAAAAAAGTACAGGCAGGGGGTCAAGATGAAAAATTCTATTCCTTAGACAATGACTTACACCAATATTAGACTTGCTGTATTTGACTCTACAGTTTGATATGAGCCATGAAGACAGACTATTCCATCAAATAAGACTAATTAGCCAAAATTGGGGGAGCGCCCCCCTAGAGGGGGAAAGGCAGTTACTTACAAGGGCTCCTCTGCATCCTAACTGAAGAGAAGTCTTCTTGGAATGAGGCTTAGAGCTGATGAGCAATTGGTCCCAGATACCTGAAAATACACAATTTACATCATAAATACACTGCAACTCAGTGCTGGGATGACCCTCAGCCCTGCAGAACAGTGAGAGAGGGACATCAGCAACAGCTCCTGCGACTGTCTTCAGTCAGGACCACATAGTAAAATGTCTCAGCAGCTGCTCTTGCAAACACCAGGGTTTGATTCCCAGCACCTACATGGTGGCCTCATATTGGTCTGTAACTCCAGTTCCAAAGGATCAGACACCGTGGGACTTCTTCGGGCACCAGGCATTAAATAAATAAAAAGTTTAAATAAATAATGAAGTTAACAGAACGTGGACCTGCAATGATAGTCTTCACAGAGTTTATTTAATTAAAGTCAGAAACGGCAGGAGGTGATGGCACGTGCCTTTAATAGGCAAAAGCGACTTCCTGAGTTCAAGGACAGCCGTGGTTTACAAAGTAAGTTCCAGGACAGCCAGGACTACATGGAAAAAATCCTGTCTCCAAAACAAAAATAAATCAGAAACTGGGCCAACAAGAGGGCTCTCAATGGACACAGGGGCTTGCCTCCCAAACCTGAAGACCTTAGTTCCACTCACTACCCACATGAAAGGAGAGAACAGCCTCCCCTCTACAAACCTGTGATGACAAAATAGAACCAAAAAGTTTACAAGCTATGCAGAACTGGGCAAACTGAACCACACTGAGCATGTTTCTTCTTTTACAGAACATAACTTGTCTGCGAGAAAGCGTCACTCTAACAAAAACACCCTTGGAGAATGTTGTGCTTGCTCGCACCTGTCCAGCTTACCCACTCCAAACAAACCAATCTGTCCAGCCCATGAGAGCTTGGGGACAGGACCCTGACCCACTCAAGCCTTTGCCCACTCTTCTTTTCACACACAGAAAATCTCTTCACTTTCTAAATCAAAAAGCCTGTCACTCCCAATGTAGAGACGACCCAAGAGCCTCCGAACTCTCCTGAAAGCCTAGTGGTTTGACTAGTGTCAAGTTCGGAGGAAAGCCAGAGCTTGGGGGGTCAATATCCAGCTTTGCTGCTTTCCTGCCAGTGTCCACAGTTATCGGTGTAACACCATGCCGGCTTCATCATAAAACGGGGGTCAACAGGATACCTCCGCAGGCGTCGGGGATACGGTGAGGCTTGAGTTTGTTAATTTCTGACACTGCCACTACACAAGCTTTGGCAATCGGGTACTGTAACTCCTTCAGACACACTGGATTCTTAAATCATATCCATGATACTTAGTAAGCAGGCACAAGAACTTTTATGCATTCTATTCAAATTCTATGGGCAGTTTCACCTGTTTGAATCAAAATGTGGAAACAGAGGCCTAGAGAAAGCAACTTTCATAAAAGCCCCACTGAGTAAGGATTTCAACCTACAAATTTTGTTTTCGAGACCTGGGTGTCACTGTATTTATAACTCTGTCTGTCCTGGCCTCGAACTCAAGAGATCCGCCTGCCTCTTTCTCCCACGCTTTTCTCTCTGTACCACACTATCTGAAATGCTGAGTGGATTTCCTGCACACAAGTCTCCCTCCCCCAAGGTGACACTAAGGTAGTGAGTGCCTAAGGCAAAAATTATTAAAAATGGTATTCATCTGTTACTTACCATCCTGGACGGGCCAGTCCCGGTCCTCCCTGTAGAGTTTCCCTAAGAACTGCCTGGCCACAGGCAGGTATAGTCGTATCCTCGACCCCCCTGTCCAAGCTTAGCTGGATTCCCCACCACCACCAATGTGCTCCACACCGCAGCTTCTCCAGTCCCCCTGAAGCATCCCAGGCTCCTCAGCATGCCCCTCCGCCCCGCCCCCCCAGCTATGCAATCCAAGCTCTGCAGCATCCCAGGTACCCCAGCCAAGTTCCAGGGAACCCACAGCCTCCCAAGCTCTGGTAGCCCCCGGTCCCCTGCAGCATCGCCGGTCCCCCCGCAGTGTCTGGGCCCTGCTAGTTTGTGGTCTCCCAGCAGCGTCCTGGGCTCTGCTAGACCCCGGTCTCCCCGCACCGTCCTGGGCTCTGCTAGTCCCTGGTCCCCCCCCACCGCAGCATCCCGGGCTCTGCTAGTCCCTGGTCCCCCCTCAGCATCCCGGGCTCTGTTAGTCCCTGGTCCCCCCGCAGCGTCGCCGTTCCCCCCGCAAGCGTCCTGGGGCTCTTGCTAGTCCCTGGTTCCCCAGCAGCGTCCTGGGCCCTGCTAGTCCCCGGTTTCCCCGCAGCGTCCTGGGTTCTGCTAGTCCCTGGTCCCCCCAGCAGCGTCCTGAGCCTGCTAGTCCCCCAGTCTCCCAGCAGCGTCCCAGGTTCTGCTAGCCCCCCCGGGTTCCCCCCGCAGGGTCCTTGGCTCTGGTAGCCCCCCGGTTTCCCGCAGCGTCACCAGGTCCGCCCCCCCCCCCCCCCCCCAGCGTCCTGAGCTCTGCTAGTCCCGGTCCCCACCAGCAGCGTCCTGGGCCCTGCTAGTCCCTGGTCCTCCCTCAACATCCTGGGCTCTGCTAGCTCCCAGTCCCCCCCGCAGCGTCGCCGGTCCCCCCCGCAGCATCCCGGGCTCTGCTAGGTCCCCGGTCCCCCCGCAGCGTCGCTAGTCCCCCCGCAGCGTCCTGGGCTCTGCTAGCCCCCGGTTTCCCGCAGCGTCACTGGTCCGCAACCGCCCCCCCCTGCCAGCGTCCTGAGCTCTGCTAGTCCCCGGTCCCCCGCAGCGCTAGTCCCCCAGCAGCGTCCTGGGCCCTGCTAGTCCCCGGTTTTCCCCGCAGCGTCCTGGGCTCTGCTAGTCCCTGGTCCCCCCCAGCAGCGTCCTGAGCCCTGTTAGTCCCCAGTCTCCCAGCAGCGTCCCAGGCTCTGCTAGCCCCCGGTTCCCCCCGCAGCGTCCTTGGCTCTGCTAGTCCCAGGTACCCCTGCAGCATCCCAGGCTCCTCAGCATGCCGCCCCGCACCGCCCCCCCACCGAAGCGACCGAAACTCTACAAGCATCCATGTACACCAGCAAGGTTCCGAGGGCCCCGCAGCGTCCCAGGCTCTGCTAGCCCCCGGTCCCCCCCGCAGCGTCCTGGGGCTCTGCTAGTCCCGGTCCCCCAGCAGCGTCCTGGGCTCTGCTAGTCCCTGGTCCC